CCCCCCCCCCAAGTACTAAGCGGCCATTATTGTACCGATGTGTTTCTCTCTCTTTACTCAAACAAATCTGGACCTGCGAGAGGCGTACTTTTCTCGTTTGTCTCAACGAAAACCTGAGGTGGGCTCACTCTGCTTTTCTGATGTTCGTTTTGGTGTTACTGCGTTCTGGTGTGGGTGGTTGGCGGGTGCTCTGGTGTGGTTTGCTTCTTCTTTTCTATCAAACATCTTTCGTCCTTATCTCCTCTTCTTTTTTATGTTTGTTACTCTCTTGTAACACCTAATCTTCTGGCGCTCATATATTGACCTTATGCAGTTGCGAGCGCCGTAAAACCTCTGCTAAAACTATTTTTAAAAACTGCGTTCTGTGGCGCTCATCATTTAACCCTATCCGTACGTCGTGTTTTACTATAGTATTCATACAACGTGTGGAACTCTGTGCCAATACTTTCAAAGAGGAAATATACTCGTTAATCCGATCCGTACGCTTGGCATAGCAGTCTGTCAAAATGATTTTTTGAGAAATACTGAACGTTTCAAAGAGATCTTGGTACTAGAAGTAAGCCCGGGGGTACAAAATGACCCCAAGGCGTACGGATAGGATTATGAAAGAAGAAATGTTGATGGAATGTCAGAAGGCAAGGCCTTAGTAATAAAATGAAAACGGGAGACAGACGTACAGATTGACACTTTGACCTCGCTCCTCTGTCCTTTTCCCCCCTAAATTCAAAGTATAGTGTATGCATAGAGTGAGTTATGATCTTTTCTTTTGCCATCAGTCACCGTCATATTATTGTTGCTCACTGTGCACGTGCTTCCACTTCTGTGGTCGACTCTGGCTCAACACAGTACACACAGGCGCATCCATGCCTGTGTTGGGACGGGAGGAGGAGAGAGAGTGAGGGAGAGAGAGAGAGAGAGAGAGAGAGAGAGAGAGTTTATGTGTATGTGTATGTATGTTTGCGTGCATTTGTTTGTGTGTGTATGTGTGTGAGAGAGTTTGTGTGTGTGTGTATGTGAGGGAGAGAGAGAGAGAGTTTGTGTGAGTAAGTGAGAGAGAGAGAGAGA